GTGGCGGCAGGAGTTGGCAGAGGGGCGGGTCGGCGCGCGCCACGGCGGCCGCGCACAGCCCGCGTAGCGGCGCCAGCAGCAACAGCGCCCCCACCGACCCATAGTGCTCCGCCGCGCCGCTCGCCGCGCCACTGGCCGCCTCCTGCCGACAGGCTCATGTATTATTTCACTGGCTACTCAAATGCAGGTATCTGGAATTTCAGAAACGGAGAGTGAGGGGATTATAAATATTTAATTTAGACTAGTGTTAGCTCTATTTCTTCCTTCTGTCCATTTGAGATTCAAGTGAAAAGATTCCTTCACAAAATGCAGATGATGATGGTCTGAGCGCCTCTTTTTTTATTTTAGCCAGTAGACATAGACACTATCTTGCATCCGTGTGCCATGAGTCAGCGTACAGAAAAAGGATGTTCATTTTTTCTATTCTAAATTAAACAATAAACGATACAACGTTGCAGATGTTAGTCACGTGAAAAAATGAATTGAATTGAATTGGCCTTATTTTACGTGGCGAGACTCGGGCCATCAGTCTGACCGCCTTCCGTCTGACCACGCGACAACATTTGAATGACAACAGTTGTTAAATTTTTACTAAAAGGAGGACGAGGGGACTGTCCTCCCAGATGGAGGACGCTTGGCAACCCTAGCTGGTAGGTATTGTTTGAACTTTAGCTATTGTAGCATGGATTCAAACCCAATCGAAGCCGTTGCTTTTTAAGAGCGAAAAAAATGATTCGGGAGGGGGGATTGATTGATTATTAGTGAATTAGGGTGAATAACTAATAAGACCATTGATCCCGTATGTGAAGTGCATGTTTCCCTAGGGCTGTGGCGGTGGTCTTCCGCTGGATGGCGAAATCGGGCGCCGATCGATCGTCGGCTAGCGGGGTTTTCCCCAACCAGGTATCCCCCACCACCCCCTCAGCCTGGACAATCTCTAAGCTCCCGACCGGTCTCCTGGCATGTGTGGTAGTGTAGTGCATGTTAGTGTGTCTAAGTAAGGGGTGAGGAAATGTCAAGGAAGAGGTAGGAAAGATCGCGCGGTCTGGGGCCCGTTTATTAGGATACTGTTGCGGCATGTGCCTGGTATTGATCGGAAAACTACCGATTAGAGCAGCCGACCACTAGAATTGTTCTCCATACAGCGACTGAATTTGACCTTATTAGCTAGTGTCGAAAATTCTGCAACCTCAAGACTCGAACCTAGGACCTCCCGAGAGGAAGTAAATCCGGCTCTCGTATGTTAGTAGATTTACTGCATGTAAAAGAATCTCAAGCCTATAAGATGCCTTTGAGCTAAATTGAAATCACCTGTTTCGTCGCCCGAGATACCTTCATTCTCCGCTAGATAGTGAAAGGAGCGTAGCGAAATTTGTGTTGTCAGACGGAATAGCAGGCCCGAGTCTTGCCACGTAAAGCAAGTCATTGAGGTGGTATGTACCTGCCAGTCGCTAGTCAAACACTCGACTATTTATTACAGCTACAGATTAACAATAGCTGCTTATTAAAGTGAATCGAACATTTAAATAATTATTTGTAAATAGTTAATAAAACAAGTATTGAATAGTTGCATTAGAAAAACAATGTTTACTATTAAATTTAGTCTCTCACAGGACTATTTTCACAAGTTGGCGATAGTTAATATAGGTTAGGTTGACTTCATTGTGCGTTGAATATTAGTCCACATTGTTTGCATTAAACCATCAGTTTGTGTTTGGGTGTGGTACAAAATTTTAAGTTAGAGTGGCTTTATCTCGTATCTAAAGAGAAACAGTGGTGACAATAGCACGTTTTGTACAGAATAATTCCAAGGCCGAGATCTAGCATTTCCGGTTGCGATGAATTTTGCAGCATTTTTTTATCAATTACTCCTCAGAATTCCCGATGAGGTACTACATTTAATAACGTCTGATTCCTTCAAAAAAATTGCTACGTATTGAATGAAAGACAATACGTACTTTCACCCCATAAATTCTTCTATATCTTTAAAAGCCCGCAAATAATTTTCCGTAAGAGCCTAAAGTAATATAAACTTCTTTTATTAAAAAATTAGAACGGTAAAAGCCAATTTTTCTTACTATCCTGATAGTTGGCAACAGCCGTCTCATGTGACGTAGGCAGTGCCTTCCTCTCCCCTCCCCCCGCGCTGCGAGACGTCAAGAACGTCGCACGACTAGTCAGTATAGAGGAATCCGCCTATGAATGAGCCAAAATTACAGTTCGCTAAACAAGTGAACATCACATGTAATTCACAGAAGTATCCTTCCGCCACTACAGCTGTTCAGCCCCGCCTCTTCGTAAAGTGTGCATGACTTCCGTTATGACATTATGGCTTCTCATGGTTCACAACCGTGTAATTATATATAAAAAATAAATGAATAAAACGCAAAGAATGGAACGTTCTTGATCACAGCTCGCCACTTTACCGCACAGCACGAAACACGTGCACCAGTACGCATCTCACATTCAATACTCGGTTTTCAATTAAACATAATCCTTACCACGCAATGTAATTTTTATGAAAAGAAAGATTTTTTTACAGAAGAGCACAGCGCTGCACTTCTTAATTTCAATTATTTCTCGTGGCGAACTACATTTTCGTCGGACGAAGACATGACAAAAGCAATCGTCGAAGCCATTTGCAAGTTAGCCAACTGCAAACAAACGAATGGAAGCAGGAGAGTGGAGTGGGCTGACGGACACGACGAGCACAGAGCCTCCAGTTATGTTGCCAGCACTAGCTGCCGACGGTCCTTTGCTATAAAGGCCGCTGCGTACCTGCGCGTTTCGCCGCCGCTGGCCGCCGAGCAGGAAGACGGCGTGGCCGACGAGCGCCACGGAAGGGGCGCGGCGCGGGCCCAGAGGCAGCCACTCCCCCGCCTCCGCCTCCGCCGCCGCCTCCGCCGCCGCCGCCGCCCCCGACAGACGCACGCGCCAGCAGCGCACGCGGAAGCCGCTCGCCTGCGCAGGGCAGCCACCAGGGGCTCGCTAAAAGACCGCCCGCACAGACAGGCGCCTATGCGGAAGGACCGCAGGGAATGTTTCGCGTCACCGGTTGCCTCACGGGCGCGTTCAAACCGGCGCGGCAGCGTTTTCATACCCGCGGATTTGGGAACGCAGTCGGTCGCGTTTCGACCGCTGCCGCTCGAGTTTCGTGTACGTCCGCCCGCCTTCGGGAGACTTCGCTCCCCTCTGGATCGAGCTCCCCTTGCTTTTTGTTTATCGGATGCGAAAAACTGTCACCAAACGCTGAGTAATAATTGACGCTCCGGTGTGAAGGGTCCCGCGGACTCCGCCGCTGCGTCTAGCGCGGAGCGTTCCGCGCCGCACCTGCTGCGGATCTCCCGCACCGGTCTGTGGGAGCCTTAAAGGAGTATTGAACACGCCGTGCGTGAAACGCGCATTGAGAGAAATGTTTTAGTAGAATGTACTAAACATGTTAAGTAAGCAATCATGTAGTAAGCACAATTATTCGTGTAGTAAGATTCACTAAACATAATTTATTTTCGTTTAGTAAATCGGCTAATTCGCCCAGCGACCCCTTAAGAGGGCGCTTAATAACGGAGAATTACTCCACGTAAAAGCCCATTAGGGTTAGTGTGCGGTCGACGCCAATCAGGCTTGAGAACGTTGTCCCTAAAAGGTGACAGAAATTGTAAAATAACCATAATAATGATAACAACTGTAATAATAATAATAATAATAATAATAATAGTAATAGTAATAATAATAATAATAATAATAACAACTCACGTGGTGGTGCTGCAGCAGCAGGACGAGCGATCGCCCGTGTGCGCATGCGCGCAGGACTCTGCCGTGCAAGGCCTCCTGGGAGCGCAGCGGCACGCGCTCCCACCGCCCCCCGCGCGCCGCCGCCGCCTCCGCCGCCGCCTCCTCGCGCAGCCGCCACACGGCCTCCGCGCCGCCCGCCTCCGCCTGCCTCACACGAACGAAATGCTACGGCTCTGGGGCCGTCCGCAAATTACGAAACGCCAAAGAAGGGGGAGGGGACTGAGGCAGCGCTTCTCTGCGTTGGGAGGAGGGGTATTAGTTGTGTTACGTAACATTGGTATTTATTGTCTTACATTTTTCAACTGATTGCTTTCTGGTACATTTCTTTCTTTCTAATCTTGTATTAAGACAGTAATTGGTTTTAAAAAACATATATTAAAGTGATTACATGTAAATTCTTACAATGGAACAATTTTTTGAACTTTTTTTTAATCTGTAAGATTACGAAGAAAATATTCAAAACTGATATGAAGTGTATTCTAGAATCTATTTTAATGGCGCTGTATACTCTCGCTCTGGCTTCATCTTTCACGGCGTGTGCATAACTTGTGATCAACCATTTCTCGCCCAAGCATTCTTCTTCAGTCACAACTTGCCCCAATCTTATTGTTAGGTGCAGCTCCGTCAACTAATTTATACTTTAATTAACATTACTTATTTGAATGTACAACACAAAATAAATACAAGTTGTTTTTCTACTGAGCTATAATTTATTTTCACTTCTTGCATTTACAAGGAGGAGGGTGTTGTCGCATAAATGAAATCGCATAATGATTTAGATGGGGGTTCAAGCGTGCGTTACACGGGGGAGAGGGGTATTGCAAATACCCCAAATTTGCGTTACGTAATTTATGGACGGCCCCTCTACACTACCGGCAGCGTATAAGCGACTCTGAGAGTTCTCTGGCGACGAGCTGTAGTACGTCATGTGAGGAGAAAGCAGCTTGTGAGGATTTGTTTACTTTCTCGTAGTCAGCGTTCAGCGTTGCTGCTCGTCTGACTAAAAAAAGGCGTTAAGATTCGGCTATGGCGGAGGTTATGATCACGATATCGAGACGTGTCATTTCCTGTCAGTAGGTGTTTTCGTTTTGAGATTTAATTTACGTGTGATGAGGTGGTGCCATGTGCTTAGTAATGTGTGGCATCAGCGCATCGAACTGTCACAGTGGCTTATGTGCTGCGGGTACTGTAGTGGCGCTACAACAGCGTGGTATCAACGATTAACGTGTTTTAAAATTCTGAACAAAGTAAACTTACAATCTATTTTATATTTAATTAAATAGTAATTATGATAAATTAAACAGTGTGAAGCTATTCCAGTGATACATTTCCCCATCGTCTTGCGACTACAACAAAAAAAATCAACTAAGTGTTTTTGGTAAACGTTATGCAGTTTTAAATACAGATGTCTCAGAATAAATGTTACAAACTTCTAGATGATTCTACATCAGGGATGGCCAACTTCCCGCTTTCCAAGGACAACTTTGTCTTAAATGTAGGTGATGGCCGCACAACCAAGAGTACATGAATGAATAGAACTTATTCAATTAACAATTAGAAGGAATATACAAGTGCTGATTTGATTTTCATGTGCAAATGGAATTTTGTACTTGATTGTGTCTAGTTTTTCAAGAATACGCGTTTGTTTTGCTTCAAGGTGAAAAATGTTGT